TCCGAATAAGTTGAATGATTCTTTGAAAAATGGATGGATTGCTTTTGAATTAACAAATTATGTCGAACATAAGAGCATTGTCATTGGTAACAATAGCAAAACAAATAGATTTTCAACCTATTTAAATTGTTACTTTGCGAATCAATTATTGAATACTAGCGCTATGGCTGATATTAATATTATATTAAGCAATATTGGGGACGACGGTTATCAAACGAGACGGAATGGGTATTTTATATACACTGAAAAAGGTGTAAAGTTTTTAGATAATTTTCTGAATGAATTTTAATTTCCTGTTTATTTTCATTTAGTTTCTGTTGAGGATCTTCAAGGAATATGGGACGAAGATATGGTTTTGACGCTGAGTTGGAGTTTGTCTATGGATAAAAATGAGGAGGACATAATATTCCAAATAAGTCAAAATGGCAAAGATTTTGCTTTCGCCGAAACTACGGAAAACCATTACAAGGTGATACAATATGCGATAAAGGATATTAAATATACTAACAAATTATTTTGCTTAAGGTGCATTCTACTTTGATTTGTCCGGCAAAGAAGGAATTTGCTCAGCTTGCAGTCAGGGTAAAGGTTGACAAAAATGTGTACAAATGGTCTAAATTAGAAGTGGCTTGTCCTCCACCGCCTCCAACATTTGGTAATAATCCGATCATAGCAATTCCTATCGACTCTTCGACGTGCAGTTTCAAGCTGCAACTGCCACCCTTCCAGAATCCCACCAATCGCAGGTATAAACATATTTATAAAAACATATTTAAGTAACTTAATATCATATCTTTGCATCCACCAGTTATATCAGCGTCTTCGTTGAGCAGACAGATTATGAGGGAAGGAAAGATTATTGCGATCCGATAAAATTGGGTTTGAAGACAACCATTACTATTCGTTCAGTTCACCTGGCTGTACATAAGGAACTCACCAAACCCTATGACATGTTGACCATTGATATTGGTGAAGCGCCAACGAAGGAATCATTCTCAGAACTCCTCAATTGCAGTTACCAAAATGCAATGCTTTCACAAAAAGAGAAATCTATTTTTTACGTAGTGATGACGAGCGCGGATGATCGGCTTACAGTAAAAAGGAGCACCTTGTACGTTGTACTTGTTCCATCTATTAATGATTTTCGCACTTCCTCGTTAGCTGTTTAGTAATTTACACATCTCTGTTGCCAGTCTCACATTTTTGTGGCTTTAAGTAACTACTTTCCTTATAATCATTTAATATAGGGGTTCCCAAACTATGTTAAGTTAATAGGTGTTCCATGAAAACTAGGAATACAACAATTACTAAATAAATAATTATTGTTTTTTTTTTCACATTTTTCTTAATTTTATTTATTAATTGTTCTTACCTACTCTATAAAATAAAGTGTTCCGTGAAAATTTCAGGATTTACGAATTTGTAAATCCAACAACATTGAGGTATCAACAGTATTAATACTCTAGAATTATTATTTTAAATAATTTTAATTATTTGCAGTTATATTCATAAAGTCGTGACGCAAATGAAAACCGTTGTTGTAGGTAACTTATGTTCTCCGAATAAGTTGAATGATTCTTTGAAAGAACGGATGGATTGCTATTGAATTAGCAAATGATTTTGAACAGAAGAGTATTGTCGTTGGTAATAGTAGCAAAACAAATGCATTTTCAAAGTATTTAAATTGCTATTTTGAGAATCTATTATTGGATAATAGCGCAATGTCTGATATTAATATTATATTAACCAACGCGAAACAACGCGGTATGGTTATTTGATTCCTTCAAATACTACATATATAATCACAGATCTAACTGGACTAAATGTCTATCTCCTATATCTATTGCTTATTCCCATCGTATTAATTTTAGGTATATACATTTATAAAAGAAAAATTGCTAACAATATTCAGAGTCCGGTAATTCCCATTTCGATGGAACCAATAAGTAAGGATAATTAGCAAAACAATACGAAGTAAGTTACCTAACACCTGCAGTATCTAAATCTCTTGACTATATGTGAAACTTCAGATGATTATTTTCAGCCAAAAAAATGTATGTATATACTTTTATTCTATCATAGATTCTGCTTTATATATATATTTATGACATATATTATATAAATATGAATATTGATTAAAGTTATGTATTATGTATTAATATTAAATAAAAGTATATTAGTTTTATGTATCCCAAATTGAATTAACTCAAATTTACTATTGAATAAGTATTGCAAAACATAATTCTGAGAAAAATGAAAGAGTGTAAATCTATTTGTTTTAAGATAATCCAATATAAGTTATAATCAAGAGTGATCAAGTAATTATTAAAAAAAAATCAATTTACAAATACTTTTAGTTAATAGAACTGATTAATTATAATTATTTAAATGTGCGATAAACAACAGTTTTTGTTTGTTCTTTGAATATACAGTATTCCGAGATAAGCTACGACTTTGTTGTTTGTTTTAATCTATTACATATTCAATACAAACATTCATTTGCATTTAATATTGTTACTTGATGTGCAAAAATGTAAAGTTTAGATAACAATTACTTTTGTAATTTATATTATAAAGCATTACAAAAATATATGTCAACAATACATAAACTTCAATAAACTTCTATTATAATTATTATTTATTTAAATAAACTGATTATGTAAGTAATAAACTCGATTATAACAATACACATGATTATTATTTTCCGAAATGCCTTTAAACCATAACCGTAACCATTTTCTCCATAATATGAAATTTCATAATAATAACATATAATGTTAAATAATAATTAAATATATATTTTAATATGTATTATAACAACCATAATAAATAAATAAAATATAAACTTACTTACAATCTCTCGCCCACATCCTTCGTACGTGATCGACTGTACAGGAAGCGCAATTTAAAAAACGTTTGCTTTTTGTTGTTCTTCAGAAATATAATTTTGCGAGAATCGAGGTTCCACCTTTTATTTGGTCTTACTTTCGACCACATAAAATTTTGTCATCATATCATAAACAATATTTGAAATAATTTTCTACCAATACATTTTCTTAGTTTATAATCTGGTCAAATTATTCGATTAATGAAAAGAAAGAATATCATTTCATCCAACCGTTTATAATCAAAGGAAACTTGGAAGAGACTATGTTCTTTCTTTGCAAAGATCGGACAATTTTAATATAATAACAAATATTATTTTTAATATCTGTTGATTACATGTCACCTTCCGTTTTACGTTCTTAACGGAAATTGTCCTCTTCAAAAGTTTGTCCTCTTCAACAATATAAAAAACGTATAACTTCAAGATTTATATATCTACCGTTATATTTTTTTTACACAATATTTGATGCAAAATGATTGAAAGAAATTGTATTGAATTCTGCTGAAAGTATTTTTGCTTAACATTTGTAAGCGGATAATTATAAATCCATAATGTATAAAATTTTGGTTTTCTTTTTTTTTGATAGTTAACATTCCTGTTTCAGTATATTAAATGTAATGTTTATTTACACTGATTATAAAATTAAAATAAATTAAGTGTACATCGTTTTTGTTCTGAAATTTTATAATAAATGTAATTATTTTTTCGGATTGCGGCGGTTAACGGATATGGCTCGATTAGATAAATAAAAATGTGGTTTAGTTCACATATTAACAGTGTTATAAAATAATAGCATTCAGTGTTCGTTTTCCTTTGCGGAAAATGGATCATTTTAAGTTTATAATCAGTGCTTTAATTTATTTGTGCATGGTGCAATATTCGAAAGGAATAACGACTGTTAGCCAAAAAAATAGTGGAAATGGTAAAATGGAAACCTACTGTGTTACAAACAATGAAAGCAAAACATTAAGTTGGATAACACCATATGATAAATCATATTATAATTTAAAAAGTAAGTGTTTCTTGTTGCTTATTATAATATATAATAAAAAATATCTTTTATTTAAGGTGATGATACAAGTGATATTACTAAATTCGTTCCTAATTATTGGCTATTGGAAGTTAGTTATCAATCTTATTTAGGACCAGTTGTAGATCCCAGGTGGCAAAGTTAAATTGGGCGATTTATGTTGGTTGATGTGTGACTACATTCTATTTTATTTTTAGATTTCGAAACGTTTGTAAGTAAAAATGATCAGGAAGTAAATAAAAAATTGAAGCAAAATTTGGAAGAATACTTTGAATTAACGTTTTCGATAAAATATGACGAGGATGCAGAAATGACAATTTATTCTTATAAGAATTGGAAGCAAACAATATCATTTAAAAATAATACACTAACATCACACATATGTCCAGATGAAAATTCAGCCAATTATTGTAATAAATATATAGATATAAGAGTGGTAAATAATATATTTCAAAATAGAATAATCTGAAAATAACAATATGTTTTTCAGAATTTGGAAAGATTTTCACAATACAGTATACATTCCTGGAATCACTATACTATAAGATATCGTAGAGAAATATATACTTTGTTACTGAATGGAATATCTATAGCAGAAGATTCTATTCCTAACTATGGTTTAAGTAGCATTTATATGAAATCGATGAAAGGCGCAATTTGGAAACTGCACATATGTGATTATAATATAAATCGATTAAAAATGTATTAAAACTATTTACTTTTTTAGACGAATATTATCGAACGGATTGTACTGTAAAGGAAATCATGTTCTTGAATGACATACAAGCTTCTAACAATAAGTTATGCATGTCCGCTTATTTTTATTTTGATGGTGATTTAAGTATTCAAATAAGACAAGATTCATCTATCATTAGGGAAGTTACATTTACAAATGACAAAGTATGTTTATATTATTATAATATATAATTTATTACAAAACAATATTTTAGAAACGTTGGACATTTATTAAAATAGACAATTTGGAAGAACATGTTAAACGTTACAAATTTTGGTTAATACATGATAAGTCGATTAGTAATGTTGTTTTTAGTCATGTTAAATTAAATTCACATTGCGATATGGATATCAATAAAATTTATACGGAATTTCATACTAATCTAATGAATCAAGTTTCTTGCGAATCTTTGAACAATCCGAGTTCATCCATTACAATAGGCGATAGTAATAAATCAATAGGTATTATATTTTGTATAATATTATTTTCTCGATAGTAATTTACATTTTTACAGGTAGCAATTGTTCAATCGATAAATTTGGAAACGACTG